CCCCGAACCACGCATTGCTATACAATATTAATCATTTCTGGGCTGTCGAACCGTGACGTCACCTGATATGCCAGCTTGGCAGCTGAGCAGAGCAGTAGACAAAACATGAAGAAAATAATGTGTGTGGCTGTTGTTTTCGTGGTGTGTATCTAAAACAATTTGACATAACATTACACATTAAGACAAATATTATGGTTCCTTTTACCGTCATAATAACATTTGTCCCTGACGGCAGCCTTTCTGCTTTAAATAACCTTGCATTTAACAGCCTAAGCTAGTCACCCTGTCTGCACTAAACATTCCTAGACAACAAATCTCTGAATATCTATCTAACTAAAAAATAACCTAACAAACCAAACAGGACAAGTACAGATTTCAGCGGACAGTCAGGACTGCAGAAAAGGTCACTGGTGTGAGCCTGCCCTCCATGCTGGGCCTATACACTGCACGGGTCAAAAGGAGGGCGGAGAGGATCATTGCAGACCCCTTACACCCTGGACACAATCTGTTTGAACTCCTCCCCTCTGGACGGCGTTACAGGTCACTGTGCACTAAGACAACCAGGCACAGCGACAATTTCTTCCCCCAGGCTGTCACCCTGATGAACACTTGACCAACGACAGTATGACTGGACAATAACCCTCAGTGCAATACCTGTAAATACACCTCGTACAAATTATACAGAGTCATAGAGGTACTCGTTTTAAATATTTTTATTCCTACTTATCCCATTTCACAATGAGTATTCCTTTGTCTGTCTGCATTGTTTACTGCCTGTTTATACAGCTTATTATGCATTGTTTGGACTGTTTGTTGCTTGTTAATACTGCGGATTTTAATACTGCTGATACCTGGCAAATAAAGCAGATTCTGATTCTGAAAATTTTATGCATAATTGTTTGAATTTGTTTATGAGTCTTGTGAACACTATCCATGTTGTCTACAGACTTGATTCCCCTGTGGCTGTTACTATGTAGGCCAGGCTAAAAGGAGACTGTAGGATAGTGTAGCTCAGTGCTGCTGCTATTCTGCTTACCCTATGGTCAGACATTATATAGCAGTCCAGCATGGTGACTCCACTTTGAGAGTTATAAACACAGAGGGACATCAGAGGTGGTGAAAGAGTCAAACACCACAGGCAGTGGGAGGCACAGTAGATCTAGCCCCTCAAAGCCATGAGCCCCCCAGGCCTATATGAAGAATAAAAGCTACTTTGCCCATGTTTTTCAGTTTGTTAATTACTTGACACACATAAACAATGCAAGAACTTTGATAAAACAGCTTTCTAATAAATGAGTACAATAAACTAAATTAATGAAAGTCTTAATTTTGACAGTCTCACTTGAAGACCAGAGCCACTACATGACACAATTATTGTGTTGGACTTTAGCAGTGCAAATTTCTAACAAATTCGCCATTAGCCACATTCTCCTAATTCTAATGACAAGGAGAAAACAGGATTTTTGGGCCCCTAGGCAGTTCCCGGTTTGCCCGTTTGGTTATCCAGCCTTGGCTGAACCTGATCTGAAAGGGATCTATGGAAAACCGACCCAAACCAAAAATTGATTTTTATAAAAAGACACCTAACTTGAAAGGGGCCTGTGCACAGTCAGACTCAACCCAAACACACCTGGAAATAATCAGATCAGACCTGCTCCAAACCTAAGAGAATAATATGGTAATAATGTCATACAGTATTGTTCAAAATAATAGCAGTACAATGTGACTAACCAGAATAATCCAGGTTTTTAGTATATTTTTTATTGCTACATGGCAAACAAGTTACCAGTAGGTGCAGTAGATTCTCAGAAAGCAAACAAGACCCAGCATTCATGATATGCACGCTCTTAAGGCTGTGAAATTGGGCAATTAGTTGAAAGGGGTGTGTTAAAAAAAATAGCAGTGTCTGCCGTTGACTGTACAAACACAAAACTATGTTGTACAAATGTTTTTGTTTCTAGGATTTAGCAATCCTGTGAATCACTAAACTAATATTTAGTTGTATGACCACAGTTTTTTATAACTGCTTCACATCTGTGTGGCATGGAGTCAACCAACTTGTGGCACCTTTCAGCTGTTATTCCACTCCATGATTCTTTAACAACATTCCACAATTCATTTACATTTCTTGGTTTTGCTTCAGAAACAGCATTTTTGATATCACCCCACAAGTTCTCGATTGGATTAAGGTCCGGGGATTGGGCTGGCCACTCCATAACATTAATTTTGTTGGTTTGGAACCAAGACTTTGCTCGTTTACTAGGGTGTTTGGGGTCATTGTCTTGTTGAAACAACCATTTCAAGGGCATGTCCTCTTCAGCATAAGCCAACATGACCATTGTACTGCTATTATTTTGAACAATACTGTACATCCAACTCATGATGTCATTGTAATATAACACTGTGATGTTGTATCCAAAAACAGAAATGCAAAACTCCCAACTTTATCTGAGACACTTGAAACTTGCGTGTAGTAGTGGAGGCTATCCATCATGATATTTTTTTTTTGTCTTTCTGTTGTATGTGCTCATTGATATCCTTTTATGTAACCTATAAATTTGTCAGTCACTTGCCAGATGAGTAACAAAGTAATCTGCACCAGCTTCTATAGCCCTCAGTGTGTGTAATAAGAAGAGAGGGGGGTTCAGTTTGATGAGTCAGAAGTCACTTTTAGCACTGCTTGTTTAAGAAAAAATGATCGCGCCAATTTCCTGCTACAATATTCTGTATAAAAGGTTGGCATGGGGAATCAGTGTTGACCTTCCTTTATTCCACCATGAGAGGTAGTAGAATTGGTGCAACCATTCTGCCTCAGCCTCTGTGTAAAAGGGGTGGTATGTGAAGTTTTGTCGAGGTGCTGTTTCTGCGATGCCCTGTCAGGGGATTTAAATTTTAACGCTGCAAAAAGCAGCATCCATGACAATAATCTTTAACATGTTGTACACTGTGTTTTTAAGTTCGGTGTAAATAGGCAAAGTCTCAAAAAAAAAAAAACCCAATGACCAGCTTAATGCCAATATAGTGGCATCTCTGTCTAAAATAAGCCAGCGCTTTTACATTGAACCCTACCAAGTTGAACAAGTTGCTGCATGGATTGTCATTCCATGTAATTTGAGGTTTCTGTTAAAATGGGGAGTGAACCTTAATTCAGCCTTACATAAAGTGGTAACACCTTAAATCTCATGCCACCTATCACACACTATCTGTGAATCTTACTTTTAAAAGCAATTGTCATTTAATATGACACGCTATGTACAGTTGCTGATCTCCTACAATATTTTCTCCTGCCATGACTATGACATACCCTGTGTTAACTCTTTCTGCTTCATCTTCCAGAGCGTGGCTGAGAAGTTCAGGAGTGCGGTTTTCTGCTCTCAGGTTAAAGTTGTCGATAACTTTGAGGTCAGCCCCTCTTCACTCAGCAGCTGGAGATAAAAACATAGGAACTTGGCCTGGGTCTTGGGGAGCGGTAGAACTTAGTTTGCTGTCAAACTGTACACTCACATGTTGCATGTTTCACAGCCAACTTTACTCTGCACCGACCTCCAGCATGTCTGCACTGGACTGCTACGTCCCTCTACGTACTGAGCCGTCCCTTTAAAGGAGCCACACTACTTTTTGGACACGAGGTAATACTGCTCGGGTCCATTCCCATGTAAATGGGAATTCAACTGGCGCACACAGCCAGGACTTGTGGCACATGTGGCAGTACAATGAAAACTTACCTAACCAGATTTAGACTGTGTTATTTGAACCAAGTGGGAGACTAGTCACTGGGTCTACATTGGTTGAGGCTGAAACATTGCTCTGCTCTTTCCAGGTGTGTCTTAAATAGTAAAATGTCCATATGAGCAGGAAGATTGAAACGGGTTTTGCTTGGTGTAACACACCACTCCTGTTTCTAATGAGCTGTAACTACAGTGATAGTGAACAAAATCTTCAGCTCTCTTTATGTAGAAAAAGGCATTCCAAAGTTTATCTAAGGCTAATATGGTGGTGTTAACGAACTCAAATGGAAATGTCGCCAGTTTGTCTCACTATCCTTTCATTATAGCCCACTAAGGAGTGTTGGAAAATAAAGAGAATATCTTGTTGATTGTGGAAAAAACTGGAAGATTCTCATGAGTTGGTGAAGCTATACAATCATTATCCAGATGGGGACATGAATGTGTGTGTACAAAATTCCATGGCAACCCATTCAGTAGCTGCTGAGACATTTAACTATGCACCTCACTGTGGCATTAGAGAAAAAGTCAGGGGATCAATTAAGTCATCCTCTGGGGACAATGAATGTCATGGCAATCAATCCAAAAGTTAGAGTCTGCACCAAAGTGGTGTAGCAACTGACAGATCAACACTAACATCCCTAGAGCTACTGTATGCCACTATGTGCCTAAAAACACCTGCCCATGAATTAATGTTCTTGGGAAAGTAAGTCATTGATTTTAAGTGTCACATTAAAAAAGCAAATTAAAACATTGCACTCAGTCAAATTCTGTGTCAGAGACTGTGTATGTCCTAAACAAATGACACACCAGCTCAAATCCATTTGCATAACATATTAGTCAGAATTCTTAAAATAGCCCAGTTTATCCAGTAGAAAAAACTTTGTCGCTCCACTGGGATCATTCCAGGGGACTGGTAATGCCTTCCTTTTGTGTGACATAAAAAAAAAAAACTCTCCAGCTTGGGAAGAATTCAGCTGCTGTCTGTACACGTTGTCCCACTCCTGTACTGACTCCCTGCTGGATTACTTCTGCAGCCAGACGGAGCCTTTTCTAAGTTTTATGCACATCCACGACATGTCCTTGCACCTTTCTCAGGATCAACATGTTGTTGTTCTAAGAGCAAGACTGTACACCTTTGCAATTACTCCACTCCTCTGATTTCCTGAGTCTGGCAAACATGAAATTGCTTCTGATAACCTACATTTTAAAGCGGGCTTTTCAGTTTTGCTTTATCTGATTGTTTTGTGTCTGTGTTTTGAAAAGTGCTATTAATAATAATGATAATCTTTATCAAGTGCTTGTCAAAGTCAGCAATCACCAGGTGGAGGAGAAAGTGAGATTAATTAGTATAATTATTAATGGTTTAACAATGGCAATAATAGCACACTTTCGAAATACTGCATTGAAAGCAAGTCCCATGGTCAATATTTTTTACTAAAATAGAGGTGTTATAAGCAAAAAGTATTCATGCAGTATTCACAACTTTTAAATGAATGTAATGGGATAAAAAGGCTAATAGTCTCTTCATCGCAGTGAAGCAGAAGTAGTAAAGTGGCAGAAACTGAAAACACTCAAATCAAGCACCAATAAAGTAAATGGATTTTGCACCACTGGCACTTGCAACCAGCTTTACAAAAGGCAACACAAATAGTTAAAAAAAAAATCAACAATTGGATGAAAAAGAAAAATCTAAAAAGCCTATGATATTGTGAGCAATCACTGAAAACATGAGCTTGTAAGTTGCACCACAGCACATTCATTTCCCATAAATGGGAGTGACTTACGAGGAACAAAGGCTCAGGGGTCCCTTTATGTCAGGAAGGGGAGTGCGTGTATTAGGACACAATAGAGAGAGAAACATGCAGTCATGGTCAGTGTATCTGCACTACTATGATGGAAATCTTCTTCCAAACAAATGCAGCTTACAAGACACAGAAACCTGGTCTGACCTTTCAGCTTTGCGTGGCCAAGCAGGTCACTGCAGTGAGATGAAGTGACTCTTTTTCTAAGTTTTATGCATGAAGTGATCCTACGGTGCAGAGGGGGAAGAATAGGTGAAGCAATACTTATAGAAAACTTATAATTCCATAATAACAGTGTTCTCTTGGGGGGGCCTGAATAATAGCAGGACATTCTCTATCAAGCAATGGAAACAGGCCTGAATATAAACTGTGTTTTAGTATGTTATAACCCCTCACTACCTCACCAGGCACAATGACATATCCAACTCCACCATGTGAATTACTAAGTGCGATGTTTGAAGTTCACTGGGGAAAATACTATTACCCTATTTTTGTCTATTACAGTTTTCAATGCTTTGATGCCTTTATGTAACTTTTTCTTTTAAGACTAAGTGTTCTTTCTGGCTTTTGACTCCTTATCTGACTCCAAAGGAGAGCAGCACAATAATTCCTATATGCCTAGACTGTTTATGCATAAATGGTAAATAAAAATCTTGACTTGATAACTTCCTGGTCAGTCCTGTCCCTATGGTATCAAACAGCCCCTCTCTTCCCTTCAGTAACTGAATAAAGACACTACTGGATCCCTCAGTGTTCCACCCTGAGGACTGAGACTTTCTTCCATCAGATGATCAGAGATGAGGCAGAGAGGACAAGAGCTCCAGGATCTTTAACACTGGAGCAAACATCTGAACAAATTGCATTGCCATTTCTAGATTTTACACAAGAATTATTAATAAGCAGGAGTGCATGAAGCCCAACCATGCTCAAAAAGATAAAACACAGAGAAGATACTTGCGCATAAATTCCAGGCAAGCGAGGCATTTCCTCACTGCGAGCACGGACCCCTGCATGGACATTTCTCAGACAGCTCACAGGCGCTTTCGCACAAGTTATAAGTCAAACTAATGGGTTTTGTGTATGCCTAAACCTCTCATCCTGTCCCTGCAGCCCAATCCATCCACTCTGGAGTCCCTGCAGCCCCACAGAAAGAGGATTTGGGTCAGTGAGGTTTCCAAACCACATCACCCATTTGAAAAAAAAAATGGGGCAGCACCGGTGCCAGCCCTGTTCTGCTGGGGTGGCACTGAAACATGTTGCCAGGGGATTGGTTACTCTATGCGCTTGGTCAAGGGTTGGCATGGGGCCCAGGACAGAGAGGAACACAAGAGATGAAGTACAGGAGAAAGAATGGCACATGGCAACCTAGTTTGAGAGAAAAGGCAGTGACAGGATGTTACATTATTGAGGGCATTGAGGCCTCATCCACTATTTTCACTACTGAATTATCAGATGCCTTTTTTTAGTAATTTTATTCTGCCAGAAAACACTCAAAAAGGTACTCTACAATTCCAAGTCCATGTCTCCAAATAGCCGTTTTGTGATCCAACAGATTGAATTTAGCCATATCCAACAGAAAAGCCGCAAACCACACTCCGACTTCATTGCACTATGTGTGCTGACTTGACATTTGTTTGGAAAAAAGTAAAAAAAAACTGATTTGCTGACTGCAGGTAGCCTTAAGGTAATATGATGACTCCCTGAAGTCAAAGTCATTTTCCAACAGTGAACTAGGTGGTACAGTTTCACCACTAATTATTGCTCACATGAGAAGGAAGGGTTCATGTGGCATGGACGAACAAACCAAATAAAGAGGTCAACATCTCATACGAGTTTCTTTTTAATGTTCAATGTATGGCCACACATATACTGTTTTTCTTGTATGATAGGACAGTCACTATGGAAATGGTGATGTTGATGCGATACATTTTCAGAATTTATAGGGCTCCAAACACAACCCACATTGTTCAATGAAAAATAACTGTCCCCTCTCATTGGAGTCACCTTGATGATTAACCATTACATAAAGCCAATCAGGCCCTCCCTCCCTCCTCCCTTTAACATGACACCTTGATTAATAAATTCTGGATTTTAGGGGGGGATTTTGGTTTAATTTTCAAAACTGAAGGCCTTGATAAGTGAATCAACACACAGCACCTTCCCTTTCCTTAAACATTCTTGCATATATCATTCAGATTTAGCTTACAAAAAGCAAAATAAACATTTGGGTACAAAAATAAAATCCAAATTAAAACCTTCAACAGGGCAAAGCCTGTCATGTTTTTCCTTTTCTAATATAGACAGCACAATACATAAGTCACTGGTCACAGAAGTACACTGCAAATAAAGAAAAACGACCTGAAAAAAAAAAAAGTCATATAGGAAAGAAACCATACCGGAGAAGCATCCTCCGTCTTCCTCAACCCTTCCTAGAGGTTCACGAGCTACAAGGCGCCTGGTTTGTTTCGAAGGGTGGAAACCTTGGTTGTCAGGTGGAGAGAATGTGATTTCTCCATCTGAAAATTGTCTGCCTACACTCTCAACTTTATAAAACATAGCCCTACCAGACTCACACATTCTTGACCCTGTTTCTTAAATACAGATTTAAAGGAGAAGGGAGGTGGAAACAGAAATCCAAACCACTGTTCTAAATATCTATATGGATTCATCTGAGCGTGTTGTCTTTGTTTGTGTGTGATTTCTTTCTTGACACATATGTACTCATTTGTTAACATATACAGTGTATTCCTGGTTAGGGCATGAACCAGGGGCACTTGAATGTTGTGCAGCACCCCGCCCCCCCCCTCCGACCATTTCTTCATCCTGACCACTAGGGGTCACTCTATGTTTAGGATTGGGAGGTGGCAGACCTGCTGCTTCTTACAGCACAGTTTCACTCGCATTTCTCTTTTTTTCACTCCACTGTATTTACGTTTTCAGCCCTCTAAGCTTTAACTCTTTTCCTACGGCCCAGCTTTCTTTTGAGTTGGTTTTTGCTTTTGGAGACGCAGATACACACAGAGCAAAAGAGTAGGAGAGAGAGAGGGAGCGAGTGTTGATATCGATCAGCTGTTCGCAGCACCGACAGCTGCCCCCGTTGACCTCTCAGCCGATCTCCTTCCACTGCCGGTAGAATTCCACAATGTTCTTCAGCTCCATACCTGCCGAGCTCACAGCCTGGATCGTTGACTGGTGTGCGGAGGGGACAATCAAACACACAAAACAAGACATGCAAATCAATACAGAGAAGACTCAAAACTGTCCCTGTATCATATGCAGTAAAAGACAACAATATACAAGCACTGTAAAAGGTTTTGCCACAAACTCAACTGACCAGCTTTTCACCTGTATATCACGAGTCTCTTCAGACCTTAGAATGGTGCATGAACTATGCAAGAGCTTCAGACGTCTAACTGAAGCTGTGTGTGACCTTCTAAGCTGATTTCACCCTCATTGCACTGCCATTTTATTTGCCCAGAGAAGTGCAATGTATCATTGTAAGTGTGGTGTACGTGCCCCCCTCAGCCAGGGTGCAGAGGGCGCTGCACTCAAAGAGCTGACATGATCAATGAGCATGAAAACATATATCCTGATGCTACTATTATTGTTCTGGGAGATTTCAATCACTGCAATCTTAGGAAAAGCATGTTTAAACTGTATCAGTTTGTGACTTTTCTTACTAGAGGAAACAAAACATTGGCCCACTGTTACAGTAACATTAGAAACGCTTTCTCAGCTGAACCTATGCCTCATTTTGGTAGATCTGACCACCTAGGAATCCGGCTCAGGCTGCTTTACACCAGATGGCTCAAAGCAAACCAGTCACAGTGAGCACTGTTAACACCTGGACTGACTGTGCATAGGCCAGCCTGCAGGGCTGTCTAGAGGCCACAGACTGGAACGTCTTCAAAGGGGCCACAGACAATATCCACGAATATGAAGAGACAGTGATTATCAGCTGGTGCATGTCCATATGTCCCCCACCCACAACTGTGTGTCTTCCACAACCAAAAACCTTGATTCAATGTGGACATAAAAAAAGAATCAGGACGAGTCAGGAAGCTTTCAAGGTAGGGGACCAAGCAGAGTACAGGAGAGCCCAGTACGAGCTACAGAGGTCCATCAGAGCTGCAAAGAGGGCATACTTCCAAAAACTGGAGAGCTGTTACCTGGATAACAACACACGCAGTATGTGGCAGGGAATCCAGGCAGTCATAAACTACAGGAACAAATCAACGATCACAGTCTCCCATGACGCCACCCTCCCGGACTGCCTTAACTTCTATGCTAGGTTTGACAGGCTGAATGGGTTACAGAATCTTGGTGATCGACATTCTTGTTTATGGGGAGGAGAATGACCTCATCCTCAACATAAACAAGACAAAAGAAATAATAATAGACTTGTATTCTTGGCTGATCTTATATTTAGAAGCTTTTTTAAATTTTATTTTATTGTCATTGCAACATTGTGACACGTACAACGAAATCTTTGGAGTCAAGGGGCCCCGAGCCAATGCGTGCATACGGGCCACCATCACGGGCAACTTGGGGTGTTCAGTGTCTTGCCCGAGGACACTTCGACATGTGGACTGCAGGCACCAAGATTTGAACCTTCAACCTTCCAGTTGGGAGACAACTGCTCTACCCACCGCACCACTACTTCTGGCTTTAAATTCTGACTCCAGCAGAGCCCTGCACAAGAATTTCTATATGCCTAGACTGTGTGTTTATGCATAAATGGCAAATAAAAATCTTGAATCTTGGATGGTGACATCAGAATGCATTTTCATTAGTACTGGATGCTAAACAGTGTTTTTTTTTTTTTTATCTATCAGTGCTGACACACTGATGGTAGAATTGGTGCGAAGGTAGAGTAGGCTATGTTAGCAGCATGGCTAACAAAAACACACAGAAACGTGAATGAAGCCACTCACATCGACTCGTCACAGCGTGGCCATATCGTGCAAGCCTACAACACTCCCCTGCATCCCATCAGCCCCCAACCAACACAGCCCAGTGTGCTAGAACACAGCAGGGAATTGTGTTTTTGCCAGACTACAACAGTGGTGAACACAGTAGTGGTGAACACAGTGCATCAAAAACACAGTTAAAGCTAAAGCCCGTTAAACTTTGTTAGGTTTGGTGGGAAGTGTCAACTTCCTTAGTTTTCATGTCACTAATGTAACAAAATACAGTGAGGAACCAACCTTCATTGCTGCTGACTGAGTGCAGAGCTCTTCCACTTGATGGCCAGTGAGAATTGTCACCATGCCGGTTGTATCTTCATCTCCGTTGTTCTGGGAGACCGTTAACTGACGGCAACTGTCCACCATCTTGTATAAATGCCTACAAATAAAGAAGAGGACCAATTAATATAGTGTCCGTAGCTCATATTCTTCCAGTAAGTGTGTTATAATAAGAGGTAACTGTAGAAGAGAAGCAGGCCTAACCAGGCTTCGATGTCCTGACGTTTCAGTTTATCTCTTTCAAAGCTTCGACCAGACTCCTTCTGGCAGCGTATGTACCTAATGAAGAACATGAAGTAAAAAAGAAATCCTCTAAAATTAAGGGAGTTTCATGGCAAAAAGTGAGCTTTGTGTTTAATATGTGGTACAAAACAATGCTTCACCGGTTTCCTTTTCGAAATTCAGACTCCAGGAAGCGGATGCCATCCCTTGCACCAGCGTTTTCCTTCTTCAGTCTGTCAAGTCCATCAATTACTACAACACAGTAATCCAGACAAAGCACCTGAGCAAACAGTGACTTTGGCAAACAGGCTGACACAGACCGAATCAGAGATCAACATGAACAGAGAGAGCGTTACCGTCAAAGCTGAAATTAGTTTAGTGTGGTTAAAATTCTGAGATTTTATGTCATTGTCATGATCAAGTGTTCAAGCTGGCAAATTTCCTGTTCCAGATATGAAGTGTATTTTATTTGGCAAAATGGAAGTTATCACTACAGTGTGTATAACGCTAGTGACTAATTTCCAAAGAGAAACATGCAGACTTCAATTAGAGATTATTTTTACAGAGGAGTACAGAGGACTGACAGAGAGCTTTGGCACATCATCCTTGAGTCCAAGAGGATGTTTGTATCAAGTTTGAATAAATACCATTCAAGGCGTTCTTGAGAAACTGGTTTCACAAGATTGGGCAAGGCACACAAACAGCTGGAGAGACGAACAACCCAAAGCAGGCTGTCGCCAGCGCAGAGGTATAAAAACCAGTCTTTTTTGAGGACACTCAAACTTGACTGAAGCCCTAGAATAAAGGAACAGTTGGTAATATATTTTGCTGGACTGTCCCTCTCTAGAGTTAAATCACTGAATCCCCACCATCCGCTTTGCACAAGGCCACATCAGTGGGGTGAATCCAATGCACAAACACCTCAACATTTCGCTGTTCAGGACAGACAGTAAATGAAGCAGTGCACCAACCTGTCCGTGGGATGATGATGATGAAGCAGCCGCTACCGGCCAGCAGGCGGATGAGGTTCAGATGCTGGCAGAGAGCAGCTGTGTCTGGCACCAGGTAGGGAGACATGGATGACTGGGCCTTAGGCTGCTGAAGGCTGCCCTCTAGCTGCGACACCTCCAGCTGCAGGGAACAAACAGTAAAAATCCAACATCTGAAAATGTGCGATCAGAGAAACGTAACAGGACTGTCTCAGGGCTCCTCTACGGTTCCTACTGCTTCTGTCAGATGATTTTGGTAATTATTTATGAGATTTAAAAGGATGTTTAGCAATCATTAGCAAAAAATTAATGGATCAATAACTCCGTTTAAAAAAAGCTACTACATTAAATTTCCAAGCCTTTTCTATATTTTTGGACAATTTCCTTACACAAAGACATCTCTCTAAGACTAGGAACTCGGGTCTTTTGGAAGTGATGACTACTTCACAACACAGCTGTGTCTATGCTGTATCACCTCACAGAAGTGAAACCCAGACAAGGTAAACAGGTAAACCTGCAGTCGAAGCTGGGCCATATCCCTCATTAAGCGATTTCGACGAGCCTCCTCTTCAGCCTGAATAAACAAAGATAAAGAAAGGAGATTCAAGAGTTATAATTTGTGGTAATGTATTAAATACTGCAGGCAGATCCCCTGTGGTTCTTCTGGTCACTGTTCTTTACAGATGTCACTCACCATTTGGAACTGGGCTTTGGCCTGCTGCACCAGATTATCCTGTTTGGACTGGCTGATGCTGGTGAAAATGCCTGCCTCCGGGTTGAAGTGCAACACATTGCCCTGAAGATTTGTTAGGAAATGGCCAAAACTGCGAATGCAGCCCACTCGCACCACACACTGAAGGGAAGGGAAAAAAGAAAAAGTTATACGCTTTTAAATTTTGGCTATATAAAACATTGTGTTGGCTAAATCAACTGCAAAGACCACTACCTAAACAACATTTACAAAGTGCTTAGCCAAAGACACATGTCTTAACATGTACAAATATACACACACACACATATACATACATACATACACACACACACAGTTTGTTTCGTAGTCCATGGGGACTTTACATTGACCTACATGCATTTCCTGTAGACTAACCCTAACCCGAACCACTACTTGCCTAACCCTAACCCTGACCCTGACCGTAACCTCATCCTAACCCTAAACTTCAATTTCTTGCCCATGGGGACCTCAATTTAGGTCCCCACCGTGAAATGGGTCCTCATGAGTTGGTATGGAGTCAGGAAGAAGTCCCCACGTAGCAGGAAAAACACGTCCAGTCCATACACACACACACACACATATCTACATACATATATATACACACACACATCTACATACATATATATACACACACACATCTACATACATATATATACACACACACATCTACATACATATATATACACACACACATCTACATACATATATATACACACACACATCTACATACATATATATACACACACACATCTACATACATATATATACACACACACATCTACATACATATATATACACACACACATCTACATACATATATATACACACACACATCTACATACATATATATACACACACACACATATATATATATAAATAAAAGCAGTTATAAGTGCATTTTTAATAATAATGTATCAAATGAAGGTGTACAGTGTGAAAAGTGTTCCATGGGATTCAAGTACATAGCCCATTTTAAGTAGAACACCCTTATTATTCCATAGCTATCTAGTAGCATATACAATTGTTTATCTTGATACTTATGTGAGATAATCATACAAATTTGATTTAGCATTTTTTGTGTTTTCTGTTTCCTGGAAGACAACACAGGCAGGTCTTTTTACAGATGCCTAATTTCCATAGTCTATTGTGACTTTCAGAAAATTGTGATGCATGTGGTGTCATGTTTGTACAATAATAAGCTGGTAACTTGAATTGTGGTACTACCACCATTTGTGTTTTCTTAACCAGCTCTAAACATTTTTAAAATTGAGTCGCGTGTGTGTGTGTGTGTGTGTGTGTGTGTGTGTGTACCTCCTGTAAGGGGCTGAGGGAGGGGCTGTGATGAGCAAAGTCAAGGCGGCGGTGAGCTACACTCAGAGCAGGCAGGTGTCGCAGAGCCAGATCCTCGGGCAGCAGAAGACTCTGGACCAAACTGGGCTGCTCACACTTATTTAACAGCTCTGTCACCTCTGCGTTCAGGCCAAGCTCTGCAGTGCACACATGGATTGATAAACAAGTTGTAGATTCAGTAGACAGGCATTAGTTTTGTGAGGAAGGGGGATCTGTCACACAGTGAGACAAATATCACAGGTCTACAATTCTTAAAACATTGTCTGCTTCCAAATTTAAATGTGGAATTTTTATGGATTGTGAGGTGTTGAACTCAAATGTGACCTTTAGACGAGCTGACTGGCTGTAGCTTTTAAGGATAATTAGCTATTTACATTTTATGCTGACATGCAAAAACCTGACACGGTAATAACGTTTTGACTTCAGGAGGGAACACAGGCTGATGTATACAATAAACAGTTTGATGTCTTAAGCTGAGTTTTGAATGCAATAAGTGCTTTAAACAAAAATGTGTGGCTTGTACTGCCTGAGACACTACACCAGCCTGTTTCACCTGTTTCATTAGACCCACCGAGTTTTGGTCAGAGATCTTTTGTTCTGTAATTTCACAAAGTTTAGTCATTTTCAAGCAAAATTCAGACAAACCCAGAGCTAATCAACAATTTCTAAGATATAATTTTCGTTTTCAGTGGTTCGGATTTAGCAAAGATTGGTTCATCTTGTTTCTGAAGCATTTTTGTTGTAGTTCAGTGTATTCAGGATTAAAGCTGTTTGTAAAGTGATGCAACAGTACAGGAATGAGATCAGAGCTAGACAATGTCAACAAATATAGTATAAAAAAATACCAATGGGAATAAAAACCCAGACTCTTACTGCTGTTGGGACAATTATAAATCACTGTGCAGTGCAGTCTATCAGTTCCTCACCAGCTTCAAGCATCTTGCTGCCATCTGGTAGCAGGTTGAGCAGCACAGACAGGCGGTTCCACAAGCTTTGAGAACTCTGCAAAGAGAACAGTGAATAACAGCTGGTTAAAAAATACCCCTAAGATGTCAGTATTTCAAAAACAAAGCAGGAGAATCTGTCCCCTCACCTCTGCACACATGAGAATAATGTCAGTGTTTGTCCTTAGCCAGTCAACAAAGACCTTCACCACCTGAATTAATCCCTGATTGGTCAGGATCTCCAGCTTCTCCAAAAGGGTTTTCTCACTTTGTTCTGATTGAGTGCTCTGTTGTCTGCCTTCTGAATCAGAATCCAAGTCTAAAGAGGGAGGTCACACAAAAATTAAGCAAAAAGATATATTTGAGATCAACCAAATCACATTTTAATGTTCTTTGCAAATCCCTTCAAAAACAGACAACTGACTATATTTAAGACTTAACCACAAAGCACATTACCATTTTCATTGGTTCCGTTGGCAGTATCGGGGTTCATGCCGCAGGGTGAATCCCCAGGAGGAGGAGTCACTTGGGAAGGGGGCGCAGAAGCATCAGTAGGAGTGGGAATACCCGAGGAAGATGAGGTTTGAGGCCTCAACAGCATGTTGCTGAAGGTCGGTGCTAGGCGGAAGCAGCGCTTGGCCTGAAAGAGTTGCGAGGACATGGCCCGGAGGTTACTGCTTATGCTGGAGTCGCTGGGAATGAGGGGCCCATTGGTGGTTGGAGGTGTATCAACGTCCCTGTCGCCTCCATCTTCCTTGGGTTGGTCTTCATCTTCGTCCTGGTGTTCCCGGGCCGGACCCTCCAAGCTATCTGAGTTCTCAGCGTCCTCCATGTCTTCCAGGTCTGAGCGAGACTCCTGGCTGTTCATATCAGAGTCAGTCTCTACATCAAATGCCGTTCCACCTTCCTCCTCCTCCTCTTCCTCTGAGCCACTCCCCCAACTGCCTTCATCGCCTACGGGGTCTCGTTTTGCCTGCTTCCTGATAGATGAAGGATTGACAGGGGCTCCTGTCAACGAGCCACCTGTTGAATCAACATGGCCCCTCCTCTGGTCATCATCATCTTCATCATCTTCACTCTCAAAGCCTTCACTCAGGTCACTTTCATCTTCTCCTCGACTGTCCTTGTGGGCACAGCGGCGACGGCGGAGCCGAGAGAGGCGGGTGTACTTCTTCTTCTGCCTCTGTTTCTCTTCTTCCAACTTGTGCTGTTCTTCCACACTGCTATGCTTTTCTGCACCAGCCCTGTCATTACCATCTTCATCCTTCACCTCCTCATCTTCTTGCTCTAGGGAGCCATTCTGCAGAGGCCGCTCATCAGAGCAATCTGTCGGGGGAGCTGACAAATCCCTCATCTCCAGGTCATCTAGATAAGAGAAGAAAAATTAATTAAGTTTTTCCCCCATTCAGGCTGTTTGTCAAAGATGTCTCTCTGAAATCCTTTACTTCTAATAACATATTTCACCTAACAAATTAGATGTTCTCCACTTCCTAAAAGAGCAATGCAAAATAAGGGAATAAGTGTGTTCAACTTTAAATTGATTACATTTAAGTTGATTAAAATATAAGTGAAATATTACATTTTAAGCCACAAAGAATAAACACTGGAATATAATCTGATCTGTGCAGCAGATGCTACCCAGGCATTTTCCTGTACTTTCGTCAACTGAGGATTTCTTTTGAACAAACACGCAGTTACGTTTGTGTGCATTTTTCTCACTATATATAGCAACAAGTATTTCCTCTCTCACCTGTAGCATCAGTATGAAGTGGAGGCACCTGGGTCTCTGCTTCCTCCAGTTCAGCCTGTAGCCGGATGTTGACATGGTTCACCACATGGGAGAACAGGGCCAGAGTAAAAGCTATGGATGCACTGTACTGCTTTGAACCTAAAGACACAATAAACCAAGATTTGTTAGTATTTACACTGGTTTAAACCAAAAGAGTTCAGTCATTTTTTATAAATCTTATACAGATGCTGCCTGAGAGATTAACGATGTTCAGATTTTTATTTCTAAACGTCATGTTTGTGCTGAAATTGTAGTTTGAGAGTCAAACCATCACAAATGCTCTCAAGATGGCAGGAAACATGAACAACTTCCTCTTCAACTGCACCAACCCACCAGAAATAAAATAAACAGCCCGGACACCACACCTACCTCCCCTCTTCAGGCTGTGGACCACCATTAAACAAGTGACCACCATCTTGAAGACAAGGGTGTCAGGCAGCACAGGGCAGGAGCTATCGGTGTGCTGCTGCTCATCCTCCTCCTCACTGGGAGAGTGGTGAGCACCACATTGTGTTGGCAGTGGCAGGTAGAACAGCACAAGGTTGAAGTCCTCCAGCACTGACTGGCAGAGTGATGTCAGCTCCGTCTCCATTAGACTACATACAGACAGACCCAGGGAAGTAACGTGATGAAACATGTATACACAGTGAATAATCGATAAGAGTTTAAAAGTTCAGTGGACAATCTGGGTTGAGAACGTTGTATGATGTGTTCATTTTTGCTCACAAACTGATTTTTCATTTTGTTGGTGGTCAACGAGGGTTGTTTGTATGTTTACAGGTAGCAAACACTAACTGGATTCATTGTCCAACACTGCCTGATGGGTACTGTCAACCTTTGCTCACACTTGACAAATTAAAATATTTGACTTTGATATCACTAGTGCAGGTAAGGGGTTAAATGCAAACCTCACACTACTAGGAAGGTTTGATCCCTCTTTCCCATTCAATTCAGTAGCAAAGTGTGCCAAACCTTTAACTGGTAGTGTACATTAATTTGACAATTAAACATTCATAAAAGCCTGTGTTCATAAAGTCTTTTCATACCAATGAAACCATGACATGAAATGTGCATTTCCACTGTGGACAGAGGATGAAGTCTGATATAAGACAGGAGATGAGTAACAGCACAAGTACTTACCTGTTCTTGGGTTGCAGCAGACTTTGGAGGTACATGAAACTCACCAAGAGACGCTTAATGTCTTTTGATCTGCAGAAACAAGGTCAGAGGAATGATATGGAATTGACAAATATATTTATTTTGTATCAGACCCTATTCATGAAATTTTGCCTTTTTGTTGACCGAAACAAACAAATCTATTTACCGTCTTCATTTACTTTGAGGCAACTGTGTATGAGGTGAAACAATTAGAGAATAACAAAGCAAAGCATTTTAATGGAAACAGCTGTGCTGAATGCTGTGTATCACTGCTTATACTTACAGTATATTAAGAGGTGATTGTAATATTCCCTCCCTCATGTATGTGAATATAAAATACAAAATATTAGAAAGCCCTCTCAATTCTGTAGTCAAGTATAACACCACCTTTAAGACTTCATCTAAAAACAATTTAACTGAATTTACACATTTCCAATAATGTTGCCAAAAGCAGAACACTGAGCTTCATAGACATAATCTATTTTTAATGCAGATTTCTACAGCAGAATATTGCATCAGATTGTACAAATGTACCTAATAAAAAAGCCACTTAACATACAGAGCAAACAAGGGCAAAGAGTTTTCAATTAAATGTTATTGTATGCTAGGTGGCAAAAGGACTTGTTAATCTTGCTTCGTGTACAACGGTAATTGAAATAATCCTGACTTTAAATCAATTGTGAAAATGAACAAACATTACTAGCAGAGCATCTTGACACACAAACCCTTTGAAATGTCTCTGAAATGTTTCAGACAAATTATGGACAAGGATCACAAGACAAAATTCATTTGTACTCCACCACACATTATTCAAATGGTTATTTTACATTCTACATTTGTATATATATTTGTCTTTTAATTCTAATGAATCTTGTTCGTTTTGTTGCTTCAACAATCTAATTTCCCCACAGGGATTGTCAATTGTTTAATCCCATCTGCAGAGAGATGCTGCTTTAGCCCACCACTGATAAGACTGCCTTTGTGACTCAAATGGCAGGCAAGCAAAGTGTTAATTATGTGAAGTCCAGATGTCAACCGGGACTAAAATTACTTTGGAATGAGAGCACAGTGAAGCCAAAATATTATGTTTATTTCACTGATTTTTACCAAGCAAGCTGGTAAAAAAACATCAGCAGTACCACTGCTGTCCTGAGGGGGCTCATAAGTTAAGCAGACCTCAAAGGAATATGTGGATACAAGTGCACAGTAGTCTAGAAATCACATTTAATTTATATCAAAATGATTTGGGCTGCACTGGTCTGCTGTGAACCAAAATACAAGGAAGCACATTTTCATTTTCAGGTGAAAAGTACAAAAATAAAAATACCATCTGAGGGGAAAAAACAAGTAAAATATGACAGAGACTGTAAGGTTTCTCATACAATATGAGCTGGCACAGATTAGCCATTAGTTCCCACACTTCTCCCAGGACTTCTTTGCACTCTACATATGCAGAGTTTTGAGACAAACTGAAATCCTGTGCATCACCTTTGCCGAGAAGGAGACAGCTTCTTCATTTCCTGCTTCTTCACCTGGAGGTACATCTTGGCAGCTTTGTCAAACAGGCGCTTCAGGTTGCCATAAGCACCCTCAAAGGGGGCATCTGATTGGATGCTAGACACAGATGAAACATCAGTTAAGCTCTGTAACCTACTATGATCTGGTCCAGTTTCTAACATAACATGTAAAGGCTCAAACACTCCTCACCAGCGTAGGTAGTAGTAGGTTGCTTCAACATTGTAGAACTTGCTCCCTGCCAGTGTG